AAGGTGTGTGGGTGTGTCGTGCCCTCCTGATATCAAGGGAACCCCAAATCATTTTATATTTGACCTCAGCTATGTTTGAAGTTCATAGCCTTAAGAGCATGAGCCAGAGAAATGTATTAATTGCCTCATAGCCACTGGCAAGCTAATTCCCTCACCCTTTTCCTGTTGTGCAGGGCAATCCTAAGCATAGAATCATAGAATCATAGAGTTGGAAGAGACCACAAGGGCCATCGAGTCCAACCCCCTGCCAAGCAGGAAACACCATCAGAGCACTCCTGACATATGGTTGTCAAGCCTCTGCTTAAAGACCTCCAAAGAAGGAGACTCCACCACACTCCTTGGCAGCAAATTCCACTGTCGAACAGCTCTTACTGTCAGGAAGTTCTTCCTAATGTTTAGGTGGAATCTTCTTTCTTGTAGTTTGGATCCATTGCTCCGTGTCCGCTTCTCTGGAGCAGCAGAAAACAACCTTTCTCCCTCCTCTATGTGACATCCTTTTATATATTTGAACATGGCTATCATATCACCCCTTAACCTCCTCTTCTCCAGGCTAAACATGCCCAGCTCCCTTAGCCGTTACCTCATAAGGCATCGTTGCCAGGCCTTTGACCATTTTGGTTGCCCTCCTCTGGACACGTTCCAGTTTGTCAGTGTCCTTCTTGAACTGTGGTGCCCAGAACTGGACACAGTACTCCAGGTGAGGTCTGACCAGAGCAGAATACAGTGGCACTATTACTTCCCTTGATCTAGATGCTATACTCCTATTGATGCAGCCCAGAATTGCATTGGCTTTTTTAGCTGCACTGTTGGCTCATGTCAAGTTTGTGGTCAACCAAGACTCCTAGATCCTTTTCACATGTACTGCTCTCAAGCCAGGTGTCACCCATCTTGTATTTGTGCCTCGCATTTTTGTTGCCCAAGTGCAATGCTTTACATTTCTCCCTGTTAAAATTCATCTTGTTTGTTTTTGCCCAGTTCTCTAATCTGTCAAGGTCGTTTTGAAGTGTGATCCTGTCCTCTGGGGTGTTAGCCACCCCTCCCAGTTTGAGTGTCATCTGCAAATTTGATCAGGATGCCCTTGAGTCCATCATCCAAGTCGTTGATAAAGATGTTGAATAAGACCGGGCCCAAGACAGAACCCTGTGGCACCCCACTAGTCACTCTTCTCCAGGATGAAGAGGAACCATTGATGAGCACCCTTTGGGTTCGGTCAGTCAGCCAGTTACAAATCCACTGAGTGGTAGCATAGTCAAGACCGCATTTTACCAGCTTCTTTACAAGAATATCATGGGGCACCTTGTCAAATGCCTTGCTGAAATCAAGGTAGGCTACATCCACTGCGTTCCCTTCATCTACCAGGCTTGTAATTCTGTCAAAAAACGAGATCAGGTTAGTCTGGCCTGACTTATTTTTCAGAAATCCATGCTGACTATTGGTGATCACAGCATTCCTTTCTAGGTGCTCACAGACTGTTTGCTTGTCTACTCAGAAGTACAGACACTAGTTGCTGGGAACCACAAGTGGGGAGACAGCTGTTGCACTCAGGTCCTGCTTTGGGGCTTGCCATAGGTATATGGTGGGCCACCGTCAGAACATGATGCTGGACTAGATGGACCATTGGCCTAATCCAGCAGGACTCTTCTTGTATTGTGATGTTCTTATTAGGGGCTGCACCCCTGCTCATTTTCCTTGCCCCCCCTGACATTTTCTTCATATTACCCCACTAGAGCCTCCCTTTTCTGCCCTATGCAAGCTTGCCCATTTCTGAAGCCACTTCTTTCTTCTGTTCTGCAGCCCCGCTCTGCACCCCTGTTTTCAACTTTGCACTGCAAAAACTCTGGTTTGAATTTGCTGGGATGTGATTGAATCCCAACCAAAAGTGGCCACTATCTGAGGCTTTAGAGACACACATTCCTGCATTATGGCGTTTTGATGCCATTAACAGAAAGCACATCTTCTTAAAAAAGAAAAGAAAAAGTACTTCAGATTCATCAGCACAGTGTCTGGGAACTACAAAGAATATGGCAGACTGTATTATCTACCAGCTGTATTTCTAAGAGGTGAATCAATCTGCTAAGTGATATTTTAAATGTAGTTATTATCTTGTGGTTTCTTCGGTGTCCTTTTCCTGCCGCTCTCTTGCTGTCTGTTTTAATCGAATCACCTTTCTATAGTGGCAATAAACCATTATCTTGCACAAATGAGCCAAATGCCTTCTGTAAGCTATTAGCATTGGTATTTCCTTTTCTCCTTAGAATCTGCTGTTTGTAAATTGCCACCTGCTCCTGTGGAATAACTCTGAGAACAAGAATATCTCAGGATTAGGTGTTATGTTTCCAAAATGCATTTATCAGGTGATGGGGGGGCGGGGTTGATTGGTTTGAAATGTACTGAAGTGCAACGCCAAATTGAAAATAGGCAGGGAAACAATGGAGGAAGAAACAAGCACGTATTTATGGAGGAGTAAAATTAGAGAAATATTTGCAGAGTGGAAGACAGCCAGGAGGCCAGTATGAGTCTGGACATTGTGTACACATAGCTGGGATTAGGGTTGCAGTTGACTGCCTGGGTGGGTCACACATATGCAATTGGTTTGCCCTAAATGAACCTAGTTCATAGATTTTTCTTTGTAAGTCTCCCAGAGTCACAAAAATCTGTTCAAAGCCCCCCCTGTTGTAATTGTAAGGCTGTGTGGGTGCTGACTATGAATGGGAGAGAAACTTGATTTTGTTTGTATTTTTACAATAAACTATCAAATCCACACTCCTCATAGCAATATGGAAACAGAACCAAAGCTATCGTTCAAAAATTGTACTTCTTGAATTATGCATACAGATCCATATATTAGTGAAAATAGGATGCGAAAAATACATTACCATATTTTTCCGTGTATAAGATGCCCCCATGTATAAGACACCCCCTATTTTTAGGCACTCCAATTTAAGAAAATAGGGGGGAGATTGCCTCGTGTATAAGACGACCCACAGTTTTTCACATAATTTTTAAGTAAAAAAACCTAGTCTTATACACGGAAAAGTACAGTATACGGTGGTACCTCAGGTTACAAACACTTCGGGTTACAGACTCCGCTAACCTGGAAGTAGTACCTCGGGTAAATAACTTTACCTCAGAATGAGAACAGAAATCACGCGGCGGCAGCGGGAGGCCCCATTAGCTGAAGTGGTACCTCAGGTTAAGAATGGTTTCAGGTTAAGAATGGACCACTGGGACAAATTAAGTTCGTAACCAGAGGTACCACTGTACTAGGAAAAGTTGCTTGCAAGATATGCATATTACTCAAAACTACACACAAAAATGTGTATATTAGGAAAAATTCACACTGAAATGCTGACAAATTTTCATAAGGATCCCCCCCCCAAAAAAAATGCAGACTCCTGCACCAATGAGAAGAACTGGTCAAGACTGGAAAAATGAGAAACTAAAAGAAACCAAAATTGATTCTTCCTTCTTTAGTGCTGATAGTTTGATGACTGAAAACAGGCTTCACATAGGTGCTGGTCATCAAGGTTGTAGTAGTGTAAACACTTACTTAGGAGTAACCCCAGTTGTAGTGATGTCAGTGTTGGAAGGGTGGCTCTGCAGTTCCCCCCAACCACATCAGCTGCTACAAACTAACCTCCATTGAAAATCAGTGATGGTTACTTTTCAGAGATGCATAGGATTATACTGTTCAATGCTTTACTACAAGGTTGTGTACATTTCCTACCAGATTTTATCCTGTGACTAAACTAGTTGTGACCCTAGATACAATCAATCAATCAATCTCCTTTACTGGCATAGAAAAAGTGCATCGTATACATGGATCAGGACACAACACAGTTAACGAAACATAGTAGGAGATACTTTAGGATAAAACTTTCCAGACATCGTGAAGTACTAAAATGGCTCTTAGGACCTATGGTGATGTGATTTCAAGGTGTCACTCAAAAATCTTGCCACATTCTCTACGTCATGCATACAGTTGTTCAGCAGATAATACACCCTGAAAGAGTCAGTGCGGTAAATCCCCTCCTTCAATAAGGGCGTCAAATACTTATCATATATTTTTGCATAAAACGGGCAAATAAAATAAAATGTGTCTGATGGATTTGACCTGTTTTGTGCCACAAAGGCAGTATCCTTCGAGTATGGGATTTAAAAAAATCTACCTTGCAAAACTGCAGATGGTAAGACGTTAAATCTTGTGAGGGAAAGAGTCTTGCATAGGTGAGGATCGTAAAGCTATTGTAAATATGGATTGTCCTGGCCAAACGAAGGTGGAATTCCAACCTCAAACGGGAACAGGTTTTATTGGCTGTGCTGCTAAGGGTCCCTAGAGGTAGTCAATACATATGCACTTTTAAAAAATTGATAAAAGGCACATGGGCGAACCCAACTTTTGAGATGAGGGGAGGAAAAGTTTACATTTGTCTTCCATCACTGTGGTCAGAAGGAGTTTTCCTTCTGGGACTAGTGGCAGCTGTCAGGGGAAGCCCTTTCTGTTAGGACTTCAACAGAGAGGGAATGGGTTGAATTTGCCTTGCCTGTATGCTGTGGTCACAATGAAAACTTCCTCCACATCTAGTCAGTTCCTAGGTGGTACTAAGCCTAAATAGAAATGTCCCAGGCTGGATTCAACTGCTGGTAGCTGGACACTTTTCTGCACTCAGAGGTATAAGATGCAGTTTTGTAAAAGGGCTATTGAAGACGTTCAGGGAGGAGGAGTCAACAGCTCACTGATAGCTCAGTGGAGAGTCCATGCACAAAAGCAATCTAGAGATGTCTGACTTATGAGCTTTCCAGGAATGCCTTGCTGAGTCAGGCAGGTCTTAGTCTCCCCCAGCAATGGATGCTCTTACATTCTGACTACAGGGATTTGTCAAAGGAATTCAACAGCTCTAAAAAAAGAAGACCACAAGTTTGGGATACAAGAAGGAAAGATTTATTAAACTCTGTCACTCAGGTAATTGCTTATGTGATGCATATTAAACATTTGCTTCCCTGCATCCCAGGACTCATTCACTGCATACCTCCTCCATGTGTGACCTGGCTGGCCAAATTCAGGGCTTTGAATCAGTCGACCACATTAATGTCCTGATAGGTTACGCTGTCTTTAAATTTGTTACAGGAGAAGTTGACAAGCAGATACTTGGTCCCACTTTTTCTGGGAAAGAACTTAAACTGGACTTGATAGCTGTCCTGGGGATTCAGTGGTGGTATACTGTGGATAAGGAGCAAAGGAGCAAAGTCAGCCTGGGCCTGGGAAGATTGCCAGCACAGTGCATGCCTTAGGATGGTCTGTTAAGGCTGGCCGTGGGCAGTATTTTACATGTGTCGAAAAGCTCCCATGGAGACTGTTTGATAGTTAGGCAGAACATCATTTTATTAACTCAATCAATCACAAGTATCACAAGCTGGGCAAACTGAATGCTGTTCTAGAGGCCTGTTTCCATACTGGTTGCTGCAGCTCTCCACACTGGAGTGCAGACTTTGCTTGCTCTGCAAGTGCAGATGGATAATTGGAAAGCAAAACAACAAGGCCACAAAGGGGAGAATGTCTTGTTTGAGATGTTGCCCCTCCATTCTCTATCTGTGACCCAGTCAGAAGGGAAGGTGGTACCCTGTGCAGAGCCACCACACTTGCCCAGACGCCCCACATACTTACTTTTTCTTTCCCCCCCTTTTTTTATACTTACTTTTTCTTGAAGGTTTTTTCCAGTAAGCCACTACCCTCCGCCTTCAGCACACCATCCTTCAGCTCCTCATCAAAACAGTTGTCAATGGTCACTGCCACCTTCACTTCCTTGCCCACTTTTGCCTCTCCCAGCACCTGCTCAGAACAAAGTTGAACAGAAGAATTGCTGGCAACCCTTCCTAAGGCTACCCTGACCCAGGTTCAAAATGATAGGTCCATAGAGACACAGCTCCCTCCTCCTCCTTTCCCTGGGAACCACCTCCTCTTGCTGGTTCCTCTGTCTGCCTGCACTCAGAGTTGCAGGTAGAGAAGTGCAGTGATTCTTGGGGTGTTTTTATGTATGACATTTGAGCCTGCCTTAACCCTAGGCAGACACAAGGGAATCAGCTCATAATGGCAGCTCATAATGGCTAAGGGTTTACCTTTATTGCGACGCTGGGTTTCTCGAGGATTATGACTCTGTTCACATTTCCCCCCTCTTTTTTTGACCACGAAGCTGCGACTTTAATCAGGTTGTCTATCAGCAGGTACTGCTTGTACTCAGCATATGAAATATTGATAGGGAATTCTTTTTCTGGGGGAGGGGGGGAAATCACTATGAGGTGTGGTTGCACAAGCCTGGCAGATGGTTGTTCCTTATTTAAGAGAACCCTCCTTATGTTGCTCTGATGAAGAATGACCAGAATGTTCCCAAGGCGGGGCTCCCCCTTTGGGGCCCACTTTGTTGTAATTCTGTCCTAGCTGGAAGGGGGATGGCGAGGGATAGAAGAATCATAAAAACTTTGCATCCCTCCCTCAGTTGCCAATGGCTGAAAAAGCAATGCCTTTCTCCATCATTTCCTGTTTCTTGCTTGGGATGGAGCAAGTGGAAAGGAGGCAGGCGTGCACTGATGTCATCACACAGGCAATTCCCTGTATTCCCAGAATGTGAGAAAGCAGGAACTGTCCATCACTGCACTCTGGTGAGGCATGAGGCAGCCACTTTGCTGGTCAAAGGCTGACTAGAAGACCACCTGGGATGGAACAACCCAAGGGAAGAAGCCATCATTGCCAAGTAGTGTTTGGTTCAACAGCACTTGGGGGATGGTAAACTTATTTCCTGTAGATCAGGGATGTCCAACAGGTCGATTGGGATCTACTGGACAATTGGGGGGGGTCCGTGGTAGTGGGAGTAGATCGCAGTCTCTTGGAAGTTGGACATGCCTGCTGTAGATTATATTCATGTTTGGTGTGCTCAGAATAGACCTACTGAAATTAATGGGTATGACTTACTTAAATCCATTAATTTCAATGTGTAACTTAGTTTGATATAACTCTGTGATTTGATTTTCCAGAGGCACATAACATGCAATGTATCCATGTCTACTATCTCCTGCCAGGGTGCAACAGGTAATTTGGAGTCTTCTGTCCCTCACATCAGTTAACAAGGATGGACCATTTAGGATTCATTTCACCAGGTTTTATCAATGATGTGTGTTCAACTTCAGTAGTCCCCTCATCTGGTTGAGGTGCCAAATGATCCTCCCTCCTTGCCCACATTATCTGGCTTAACTCATACCTGGTTATGAAGAAACCCATGAAAAAACTTACCTTCTTTGGGGCCAAGGGTCACCAAGATGGAGGCTTTCCAGATCTCATGAATGGGTTTCCCAGTGTTGTTAATTGACCAAGCGGCCATATTGGGTGTTAGGTACTCAGTTGTAGAGCCAAGGTTTGTCAGCCTCAAGACCAAGTGGACATCCTTGCCAATCTCCAGTGGGCTCTTCACCTTGATTTTCCCTAAGACACTGGGCTTTGCAGCTTCTCTCAGGCTTCTGGCAGACTCAGAGCGGCTTGTTTTCAGATTTAGTTTGGCACAAGCCTTTGCAAATACTTCCCTTTCCTTGACAGAGCCTGAAAAAGTAAGAATAGGATGGCGAAATTTGACAGGGCCCTCTGACTCAAATGATGCAAGTTCATTAGCAGCCCCTGGGATCAAGAGTGCATTGCATGAAGCTCATCAGCCTTCTCTCTCTGGCTTTCCCTAGGCTAGAGACCACTTTAACTACTCAAATGTCACAGCAGTGCAAGTTCTAACACAGAGCATGGTTGGAGTATGTAGGGTTCACTGGCTAGTTGACTACTGACCTAGGTCTAGCTTGGATGTTGCACATGGATTCAGATACAATTAGCTGTGCCTGGAGTGCAGATTTAGAGAGAAGATGCCATCCATTTTGTCTTCACTGCCCCAGCCAACCACTTACTTGGACAAAAACCAAGGTGCCTGAAAATGCATTTGAACTGCCTCTGGGTCTGTGTATTTTGGTTTCCTTATGCCTAGCATCTGTGCCTGCTCTGACAATATATGTAGACCATTCTTAGCTGCAGGCATGAAAAAGCGTGGTTGCTGCCACCATGGGTTAAGTGGCCATTGACTGTAAAAAGGTGATATTCAGCTAAATACTTGTGCAAAGACAAATGCTAGTTTTAGCACAATGGGGTCTACTCTGAGTAGGGGTTGGTAAACAGATTTAGAGGGCAGGGGAGGGGGGAGTTTACGTAATGATCTGCTTATTCCTAAATTGAATACAGGCCAGTGTCATAGCAGAGACCCAATCATCTCCAAACATTTCCACCTATTTGTAGAGGAAGCTCTTTTGCATTACCTTCTTTGTATTTATAATTATCAGTGACATCCAGGCGATCATTGCTGCCCACAGCCTTTGTGCTTATGTTTTGCCCAATGGACTTGGTGTCCAATGAGCCCTCGATGTCAGCATTGACCTCTGAAAAGACGAATGCAGTGTCATATGGCAGGTCCACATCTCCTTCCTTGATGGCCTTCACTGAAGCTGGACCACACTCTACTTTCTCTGGAGAGTTAAGGAAAAGAGAAAAAGTCTGCATCTGCAGTTTGTGCAAAAATGATCAGGCAGAACTACTGTATATCCTGGGGACAAAATAGGTTGTTTTAAATAAGACAAGTGTGACATTACATGCTGCACGGTGAACCCATGGGATTTGTGGTGAGGACTGCTAGCTTAAATTGCTCAGAAAAGGACTACACAAAATCATGGAGAGTGAGTCTGTCAGTGGTTATGGGCAATGATAGCTCAATGAAGCCTCCACATTTGGGGGAAGTATATCTCTAAACAACAGCTTTCCCCCATTCATTTTATATTTCAGCAACTGGTGCTGAGGGCTCATACTGCCTCTGAATATGGAGGGGGCATGACAGAATCTGGGCATTTCTATCATACAGCAATAGCATGGCGAGAAGCTGAACAGAGATCTGAACACAACCAACTCCCCCAGCAGTCAACTTTTGTACCTGTAGTACTTCGACCTTGTGGAGTTGCGTCCAGAACTTGCCACCCATTGTACATGCAGCCAAGGTCAGGTCGAGCAAACCAGCATTCATTCCACACATGGTAGTTCCTGCAGCCAAGAGTAAATAAATCTGATGTGCAGGTTTGCAACGATGCCCCAAATCTTAGGGTCAGCTGCTTTCAGAGGTGAGTGGAGCTGATTTCCAGGAGCACCCGGGAGCCCTAAGTCTGCTTGTTTTTGTTGTAGTTAGCAGGCCATGCTGTGTTTGACGCAACTGACCCATGGTGACAAGATTTTCTGGGGGTGAATGAATGTTGAGAGCATAGGAGGAAAACAAAGAAGGAGCCTTGCAGCTGAATTAGACCAAGGTGAGTCTACCTAAACTAACAATCTGCTTCCAACAGCAGCCATGGTGGAAGCTGTTCATTTTATATATATCACGCTCAAAGTGTTTTGCATCAGAAAGAGGCAAAATAGCATCAGTGTGACACAAATGGCTTTGGGAAGCTCACACCTCAGAGCATCCTGTGACTGAGCAAGTACTGTCTGGTGCTGCTGGAACAGAATGGTACAGTGGGTCACTACCTCTGTATCTGAATAATGCAGAGCATGGAGGGTGAGCTGTCCAGGGAGATGAGGCGTGCCCCTCTCCTTCTGACTATTTTTTTCCAAAAAGAAAACTCTGGCACTTATGAGGTTAAGCAGAAAAAGGGTCTATTTCACAACAAGAATGATGAACAAGAATGTTTCAGAAGTTGGAAAACTTCAAAGAATTAGCAAATTATATATGCTGAACTCAGCAGATGTCTCAGGCTTTTCAATAAGATAGCAAATTTACATCTAACACATAAGGTGTTATAACTTAGACTTCGATAACTTGTGGGTATTAAAACAGGCTGATTCTTTTGGTCCTGTTGTGTTTCAGGTCCTCCACCTTTAGAAATTTCACTCCTGAGGCTCCTGTAGTAGACTCTGTATATCAGACCTTCTAAACGGTTTGGGATTCTTCTTCTCTTCCTAGAATATACATCCCCACCCTAATGAATTGGGACTTAAGTAGAGCGTTCCCACACAGCTTCCCAGTTCTCTTATGTCAGTATACCCTTAAAAGACAATAACCACTGTCTTTCAATCTAACCTCCCCACCCCTACCCCCAGCTCAGAGACTGCCTTTTTGGCTGTAAATATTCCCTTGGGGTGGATTTTACACAGCTAAGAGGCCACACTCTTATACAGCTGGACATCAGGCACAAAACTCTTCTCTTTCCCCCTCTCAAAGTGCTGTTTTCTCCCTCCTTTTAGCTAGCTGTAACTGGGCCTTCTATCACAGAAAGTAAGGAATTATTAGTCACTGCAAGGAGATGTTTTGCATGTCTGGATGTAGGGAAGGTCACAGATCCTGCCAAGTGTGGCAGAGAAGTGGGGGCAAAGGACAAAGATGTCTGGTTTTCTCCTACAGCTGTTGTGCCTCAGTTTCCATCTCTGGTTTCGTCTACAGATGCTGGTGTATAGGAGCCCTAGATGTATTGTGGTGGATGAAAAGAAGGCTGATTTACCAGGTACTCTCTGATGGTTCCAGAATCAGATTTTCATTTTTGTCACAGCCAGAACTGAAGTTGGAAATGATGCGAGTGGGAATTCCTATGCACCGGAGGACTACAAAAAGGAGAGAGAGAGAATATGGAAATAATGGGACTCACTGGTATTCAGCAACATTGTTCCTTACTATGCTCTTTAGCCAGCACTTCTTTCTAAGATACCCTTTGTTGGCTCCTTGGATCAAATGTCACATTGCCAGGCAGCAGCATGGAATGAATTGCCTGGCTGACTGGCCTATGTGGCCCATGACAGCACAAGGGGCTCTGAGTCCTACTAAGGAGGAAGAACCATATGCCAAAGTACTCTCTAGATGTTCCCAGAAATTCTGGGCCAACAGGGTCAACTATAGAACCTTCCACTTGTCACCTGTCTGTTTCTAGTGCATAAGAACATAAGAAGAGCCTGCCAGATCAGGCCAGTGGCCCATCTAGTACAGCATCCTGTTCTCACAGTGGTTGACCAGATGCCTGTGGGAAACCCACAAGCTGGTGCTGACTACAAGAACACTCTCCCCACCTGCAGTTTCCAGGCAAATTGTATTTAAAACCATTGCTGCCTTTATCCATGGAGGCACGGCATAATATCCATCATGGCTAATAGCTCGTCCATCTGCCCAGCACATCCTGCTGCCTAGCTCCTTGTCTTGTGTGATAATTCTGCTTATGGGCTGGACTTTTCACTTACTGCTTCAGCAGCCTGGCAAGAGATCAGCTACTTATGCTGCTGGACAGCTCCTTGGCCTTGCTAGGAACCTGGGAAATCTAAGCAACAACACTGTGTTGGCTGGAACATGTCAATGGCTGCAACTGTACCTCTTAAGCTGCGACAGATGCATCTTCCCTCCTGCAGATCAAGGGCAGCTGGAAGTATGGCTTAATAGGTCAGGGCCAGCCCACCTATGAGGTAAGGTGAGGTGACTGCCTCAGACGGCAAGATCCACAGGGGCAGCAGATCTGGCCTGCATCACCCTCTGCTGCTGCTGCAGAGGCAGCAGTTATTGCAGTGCACTCTTTGGAGGCCATATACCCTGCCTTCTCAGCAGCCCATTCCCAATGATGCCTCTACAATAGCCTCTCAGTGAAGAGGAGGTGCTGCTGGTTTCCTCCCACTGCCCTCTGGTGTTTGCTGGGCTCTGGACCAGAGTGGGTCTCTCCTCCCAACAACAGGCTTTGATTCCAACTTCAATCATTGGATATTGTTAATTTCCCCTGCTTTTTCCAATGTAGATTTTCACTCACACTTCTTCCCTGGCAGCGGCAGTCGGAGGAGGGGGAAGGCACCATTTTGTGGTTCACCTCAGGTGCCAGAATATATTGGGCCAGCCCTAGGTAGTCTTCCCAAATGCTACACTTCTACCAGCAGCATAGGGGCTTCCCCTTTCTCTTCCATCCACTCCCTCATGTTTGTTCCCTGGACTGGCTCTCTGGGTCAGTCCAGGGAGCAATTAGGGGAGACTGTGATTCTTTTATTCCCTGGGCACTTTGAACATGTTGTGCAGGGCATGCATTTTAAAATGAGTTCTATGATTCCCTTTGCATTTATCCAGCCACCCATGCTTTCCAGTGATGCACATTGACCTCCTTTAGTTGGGCTGTTAACCAGCTGCAGCAGTACTTGCAAAAATCTCACACTGCCTTCCACTATAGCACAATGTAGTTCCTGGTGCTTGAGCACATTCCTCATCCCAGCGCCATGTCTGGAAGGGCAATGTCACAGAAGGTTCCAAGGAGACATACCCGTAGTCAGAACTCCTGCAAAGACCCAGCATTGCCCATACCGGACAGGTTCAAATCCAGAGCTTTCCCATTGCCTCAATATCTCCACACTTCCTGACCAGCTTCCTGGGTCTTTCCCATCACGGCAAGCCTTCCAGCATCCAAACAACACTCCTCTGTCTCCATCATTGCAGTTGATCTGGAAAAAAGTCAAAATATTTGCGCATTTATTGTGCAATCAACACACTGCTGCTCTTCATATGCTGTGCAGAATCCAGTCTCTGTTTAGGGATGTCACATATTACCAGCATTTTGCCACCACCAAAAAAATGTGCACCTGCATGAAGGAAGGTGGGAGTCACTCTTGTGGCTCTACAGAAGCCTTTGCCAACCTGGTGCCCTCCAGCTGTTTTGGAATACAGCTCCCATAAATCCTAATGAGCAGCTAGAGGTAATGAAAGTCGTAATCCAAAGCAGCTGGAAACCACCATGTTAGCAAAGGCTGCTCCACAGAAACACTTGCCTACTGTATTTGTGTTAAGAGTGAAAATTGTAAGTCTTTCCTTACCATAGCGCTGAGCACTCGCCCAATATGTATGGGGTCACTTAGTTGGCTCACACCAGCAGTTGAGTCCTTGTGGTATTTTAAGCCCATGTCCAGCATAGAAAGGCAGATATCCAGAATGCCATATTGAAACTGTCCACAGAAGAAAATATTCGACAAGTGAGTGAAATGCACCACCACCATCAAATTATTAGCACAGAGAGAGCTTTCTAAGAATACTGGAGTGCCAGGAATTCCAGTGTCCCCAAGTGAAATGGGTTTGATGGGTGGCAGCTGCCAATACTGATTCCAAACTTACTTCCTTCCATGTGACATATTCTCAGAGAAATCTCAAGCTTTTCCAGAGAATTATCCAAAGTCTGTTAAGATCCAGCCCAGGGAACTTCTTCATCATCTGCAACCCTTTCATCTGCCAGTTTCCCAAGTTTTAGTTCTATAAAATGATTTTCAGATGTCCAATGCCCCGTTAGAGGCTAGGGCCATAGCTGTCCTGAAGGTGGCAATCTGGGTGGGGGGATACCCATTTTATGTAAGTCATAGGACCATCCCGAGGATATGCTTCCATCAGGTGAGCTGGTCATTCAGGCCATTCCCAGTGCCTACGCCAAAATCTGTACATCAGTCATCAATAATGTTGTGGTCTCATTTGACCCCAAAAGTATGTGTTTTGACTGGTTATTTCTCTCTGGTTGGGGTGGTAGGAGCTGTGGTGCCTGACCATGCAATATATGCACCTTTGCACACATGTTCCCCAATGTATGCCTTTTGGTATAGATTTTTTTTAGTTAGAGAATTGCATCACAAAATTCAGAGATATGCCAGTTATGAAGGTTAGTTACATTTTGGTTTGGTAAGTACAAATTAGGTCGGTTTGCATTAAATTCATTTCCTCCCCATTGATTGGTGGAACTCACTTCAAAAAGGTTTGGGGATTTCTCAGTGGGTCAGCTTCTTTGCAAATCCCTCCAGCCTCCTAATCATTGCTCAAACTCTTCTCCATCCCTAGTTTGAAATCCCTCCACGTTATATTTACCTGGCCATAATTCCATGGCAGTAAAGTCTTTCCATTGTTGCAAAAGATGACACCAAACTCTGAGAGGACATATTCTTTGCGCTCTGCCTCATTAGCCATGAACACATCATCCTCTGAAAGATGAATGACAAGCAGGTACTGTGATAGCACTTCTCTTTGTCCAGGTAGACCAGTGCGGCATCATGCCAGTGCTCTCCTATCTCTAACCTTTCTACACATACAACACAGTGATTATGTCTACCACCAATCATGCAAAAGCCTACAAGTGGACCTGGAAGAGATCAGGTTTTGAACTGCTAGGCTAGCACTGACTTAGGGAACATGTTTTGTACCTGGCATCCAGGGGTTAAACAGCAACACAAAAGTGCCAAGGCTGGAGGGGAGTGTGCTTCTGCTGGTGTCTGTCTTGATGCTGAGCTGGTAGCGTCCAATGGCAGCATCCACTGGGCTCAAAATGGAGACACTCAGGGAGCCATAACCAGCAGAGGTCTGTACTGCGCTCCAAGATCTTCTGCTTGGTGTGCTAGTGATGCCAAATGCCACTCGTGTCTCTGCCTGTAGAGCACAGGTTGACCCTGGAAAGAAAAGGTAAGAGGAGGAAGAGGTGGCTTCTCTGTATGTTGACTTCATATTTTGAGAAATCCACGCACCATCAAGATGGATTGGTGTGTCAAGATAGATGCCCTCTTTGCAAGGAGATCAGAGGACTTACCTAGTCACGCTACACATTTCTGTGGATTTGTGCAGCACAGAGCCTACTGCAGGTTTTGTGGGGAAGGCTGGAGAAAGACTATATGAGTGAAGCTTGGTTAGTTCCACTCTACAGATGAGGGACTGTTTTCCCTTTTGAGAGGACAGGGGAAGATAAAGTGTTTACCTGTTTCTACAGTAAATGTTAGTTTGTCTGCAGCTGGCAATGCTCCTCTGGATGTCAGAGAGATCAAAAAGGCTTGTCCTCGTCGCACAACCAGTTCCTTGCCGGGATATTCATCAGTACGGTGTTTGATGGTGTTTTCTCTCAGTTTCCAATCAGTGTTTACCAAACCTGCAAAAACATCAGGAGGAAAATGGAGCCACTAACAACAAGCTATGAATGGGACTAAGTGCAGTTCCTCTATAGCAGTCCTCCCCAGGACCATCCTGTTTCGTTTAGGTGTCAACAGAGCTATGAAGATTCATTGTTATGTTTCTTATAGGTCTCCTAGCTCTCCTCTCTCCATTGCATGATGACAAAGTGAAACTGGGACTTTTTCAGCCGGAACTCACCAGACTCAGTTCTCGCACCTGTCAGGGGGGCACCATTGCCACTATAAGAGAACAAGGGAGGTGTTCATGCAGAGTTCTGCCACTTTTTTTCTAGATAAATGGACAGAGGTGAGCTAGGAGACAGGTAAGGAAAGAGTTCATGTTTTTATTTAAAAGGTGGATGTTACTGAATATTTTGTTAATGCTTCTTTTTATATTAAGCAAGTATCATTCTTAAAAAGTCATGAATGCAAACCATACTTTGACTTGGAAATGTCCTTGTAAGTCATGGCAAGCCCATTGACTTATATGTTCTTCTGGACATAGTATGACATGCCCAAATGAACACAGAAACATACTTACATGCTTAATCAAGTGATAATAAGACACACAAGCACTCCAGCTACTATCAGATTTGATGGGAAACCTTGTCTGTCCTGGTCAGCATGGTCAATGGTCAAGGAGATGGCTGCACCGAGGGGTTTTATGAACCATTTTGTGGAAGGAATCAAGTTTGCCAAAGGAAATTGTGAAAAAACTCACATCAATCAGTGATTCTGAATCCCATCCCTACTGCTTAGCATACAGAGCTGTTAGTAATTGGGGGTGTCATGAGAGGGGGCTTGTGCAGTCTGCCTTCCCTCTTCATGGCCTCAAGCTCCCTATGCACACATGAGGAACTTTTGTAAGCTGGTGCTACATTAGCAAGGTGTTACCCTTCTTACTCTGAATTTATTCATGCAGAATAGCCACAATTCTGATCACTTCTGCACCTATAGATGCATGCATTCACTCAAATGGTGAGCGTAATGAGATGAGTTAGAGCATTAAAATGCTATGTATAAAGTGATATAGGGGGTTCCCTCTGTTGTCCAATAGGCTCTCTGGTATATTTTCTTTTCAACTGGTGGAACTTGGCTGCAGAGATCTCTAGAGCCTCCATTTCTGAAAAGAAGCCTGTAAGAGAACCCAGACCTCCTATTTTCTGGGTTTTCCATTGACCCCTCTAAGTCTTCACACCCACCCACCTACCTCAAGCCCTGCTTCCTTAAATTGTCAAGCCAGAAGTTTGCTGACTGCTCATACTCACCAGCCATTATCTCTTGCTCTTTGCGTTCTGATTTGCTCTGGAGTCCTTGCTGTCGTAGGATGAAGTTCTAAAGGGGTTTGGAAGCATCTTATATACTGCAAAAAGGAGGATTCTCTTTCTGTACAAGCCAAGGACAGTCCAATAAAATTGTGGGAGCCATTCCAGGAAGTCTGAATGGTTGGAGGCAGATGACAATATCAGAATCACATGAGGCATCTAAAATCCATATCTGCACATCTTTAGCAAACAGATTACCTGGCCAGTTCTAATGAATCACCCAGTTGTAAGCAAAACAAGTAGATGGGCCAGAGCTAAATGGGGGAGGGGAGGAGGGGAAAACAGCAATATTTAGAAGTATTGAGGAAAGCTGGGATGATGACATACTTCTCCTATAAGAAACTCCACTTTTTTGGCCCATTTATTAATTATTATTTTCTTTTTACTCAGAGTTCTGGGTGCAGTCTTCCTGACTTTCTGAGGAAGAAGTCCCATTTAATTAGTTCATCTTGTTACCAGTGTGATTTATGACCATGTCAAGGTCACAATAACTTGGTCACAATATCCGTGCAGAAATCCACTGAGTGCCTGCATGATCTTCCAACAGATACACCCTCTAGTACTGTGAAAATATGCCCTAAGTCCTGTTTGGCTGAAAGAAAACCTACCCTTCTGGAGCCAGGCCTTTTTGTACAAAAACTGGTCTGTGGTCTCCATTCAGATGATCAGCCATGAACTACAACAGCAGTACCTGAACGATGCTTGATGGTTGGGTTAATGACTCTAATGGCTGGTATCAGGGTGAGACCAGCAGCCTACATTATTTTGTTCTGTACCTGAATTCCCAAAGGTGCCTTTATACTGTTGGCAATTCTGAGCTGTCTTTTATATTGCTAAGGGGTGCTTATTCTCATGTTTATAACCTCCTTAATGAAGTGTGGCATTTATCCCTTGTGTGTCTTTTTAGAGTAAGCTTGGCTCTGAATCTGGTTCCTGGCTTCATGGTCATAATGTGCAGAGTAATTTTGGGGTGTACAGCTCTAAAGGCAGTGAGTAGACTATTTGGTTCTTGTCCTTGCAAATCCTAAGGGTGTTCACATGTAAGCTAGGTTTCCCTTGGCTCAGGATTGGGGGACTCCAGGTGTGGTGGCAGTACTATCAGGCAGAGCTGGTTTTTCCTGGTCTTCATCTCACACTGGCAGGTAGGGATAACCAAACTTATTTCTGTGTTGGCAGCAGGAAGATGAGAAAATAAAACCACAAATCAAATAAAACCTTTGTACCTCCCCCAAACTTTATAGTTTTGTTTTTCTTTCAGTGCTAATCACCAGAGTTTTTATACCATGTGGTCAATGTCACTCTATCTAAATATTTACAATATCTAGCTATTTCTATCATGGCTGCTAATAAAAGCTGGCCAATAAGGTGCTTAAAATGCAGATTCATAGTGTTCCCTATGTAAAAATTAAATAAACCAACTCCAGGCCTCTGACTATATTTTGCCCAGTTATCTCTCTAATTTCTTTGAACACTTCCTCAAAGAATGTGGTCACATCCTGATGTGAACCCATCATTGTGACCTCCTCCAACAGGTGGGTGGTGGGTAGCACTAATGTGGGCCAGAAGAACTGGAGTAGGTGCCACTTCTGTAGAATTTTCAATGTCATTTGTTTCATTGAGGTTGACACCAACTTGAAGGCTAATTTGTCCCACGTGGCAGTCCAATCTGCCTCTTCAATAGAAATTTGTCACATTGGCCACAGCCCATTAGTTGTACCCATGTCCACCCAGAGTAATATTTTATATAGCATAGAGACCAGCCCAGGATCCATCCCATCTGCTGAGTCCAGAAACCTTTCAAATAAAATGTGTTTGCCTAGGGCCTGTTCCTTAATGTTAGTTGATTCACCCAATTTTTAACCTGGTACCACACCAGCCATGGGATACCCTTTTTTCCAGCTGAGTCCTCCACAAATCCTTTGGGAGAAGATGTTACTGTAGAAAAATGTATTGTACATCCCTACAGTTTGCAGAAACTTAAAAGGGAATTGTCTGCTCCCAACAATTCCCGGATGACAATGAATTGGAATTAGAGGGTAGATCCCAGGCACCAGTTTTTCCTTGTGTTTCTGCCCAACATGCCAGACTGCTTTCATAGTAGAGGTGCATTGTAAGGCTGAAATGTGTGTGTGTGGGGGGGGGATATTAAGAATGCTTTGCTCTGGAAAACTTTGGCCCATTAAAACTCTCTCAACTTGTGCCCATTGCTGGTTCTTCTAATAAAGAAATCAGATGTCCAATTTGATAGCTTCAAAATAGATCTGGAAATTTGGGATCACCCACCCTACAAAGTTGCTTTGTATCTTGAGGTTTTTGGAACCCAGGGGTTGTGACTTTCAGGGAAAAGTATGCTACTTTAGATTGCCAAGTATTGAGGGTTTCTGTAAGATATTTGTAATGTGTGTTTGTAAAATAAATGTGATAATTTTTGAAGCACCATCATTTTAATGGTAGCTATACAACCTGAAAAAGAGAGGGGCATTTTAGTCCACCATTTTGCTATTCCTTTCATTTGCTATTCCTTTCCAGACTGCCACATAATTCCTAGCAAACAGATTATTTAGGTTCTTTGTTACTTGTATCCCATAGTATCTGAAATGTTTGTTTACTAGGAGGATGTTTAGGTCTTTAAAAAATTTTAACTGAATAGATGAGGTAATATAATGACACAGTAGTTCATCTTGAAATTTACCCTCAAACCAATCACTTGTCTAATTCAACTTTTAATGCCCAGGTCACAGCAACCAGGTCATCCGAAAGGAATGTCATATCATCAGCATATAAACTGATGACAAGATTCATCCCTTTTACATCAGTCCTTCTGTATTCCTGTTTTCCCTCAGAAGAGGAAAAAGAAAACTTATCTTTCACCTTTGGGTAGTTGGAAGTGAGAGTTGGTGAAAGAAGATGCAGCCAGGAGAACAAGCAAAGAATCAAGCTATCCTCTCAGAGAGGGTGGTCTAGGATTCCCATATGTCTGGATTTTCTGGACAGAAATTGGGAAAATGTCTGGGAAAATCCAGACATATGGCAGCTCATGTCTGCAGTGCCATTTTTGTCATTTTGGGGGGAAACTAAAAAAAACTCAACAACTTTTCTGTCCAGATTTTCACTGTTAGAAATATGGCAGCCCTAGGGTGGCCTCCCAGGGACACGGGTGGCACTGTGGGTTAAACCACAGAGCCTAGGACTTGCCAATCAGAATGTCGGCGGTTCGAATCCCCATGATGGGGTGAGCTCCCGTTGCTCGGTCCCTGCTCCTGCCCACCTAGCAGTTCAAAAGCACGTCAAAGTGCAAGTAGATAAAATAGGTACTGCTCCGGCGGGAAGGTAAACAGCGTTTCCGTGCGCTGCTCTGGTTCGCCAGAAGCGGCTTAGTCATGCTGGCCACATGACCTGGAAGCTGTACGCCGGCTCCCTCGGCCAATAAAGTGAGATGAGCGCCGCAACCCCAGAGTCGGCCAAGACTGGACCTAATGGTCAGGGGTCCCTTTACCTTTACCTTAGGGTGGCCTAAGGAGTGAAAAACAGCAATGCATGCAAAGCCAGAGTTGGAACGGACCCAAGGGTCATTTAGTCCCAAACCCTGCAATGTAGGAATCCCAACTAAAGCATCAATAACAGGTAACTATTCAATCTTTGCCTAAAAGCCAACAAGGAAGGAGAGTCCACCACATTCCAAGAGAGTCTGTTCCACTGTTGAACATCTCTTACCATCAGATAGTTCTTTCTGATGTTTTCTTGAGTGAAAAACAGTGGCAACACATGTGAAGACAGTACCAGCTTGTAACAGAAATATTGCTGGTGCAATTAGAAAAAGAGAGAGCCATGCCAGCAAGTCTGAATGGTAGGGGATGGATGCCAATACCAGAATAAATGAGGGATCTAAAATGCAGATTAGCTCTCCGTTGGCCATAATTTGATTGCCTGACAACTTCAAAAGCTTAGCCCAATTTTAAGGAAAAGGGGTGGATATGCCAGAGGGAAAATGGAATAGAGATTGTTCATCCCCTGTGGCCTCATCAAAGGGGGGCATCTCTAATGATACAGAAGTATTGTGGAAAGCCATTATGCTGACAAACCCTTCCTGCAAATAAATTGACTGACATGTTGAAAGGAATTATCCACTTCCAAGAAAAAGGGGTGGAGATGCCACAGCTAAAGTTGGAAGAAAAGATAATAGAGATTAACTCTTCATCCTTTGTTGCCTCATCAAAGAGGGAAATCTCTGGAGATGCAGATGTATTTCTTCTTCTGTGTGATGATGGCAACCCCTCCCCTCATCTTGAACCCAGTGTGGTAGCTGTCCCATGCATGGCTGTATCAGGTAGCTAGGGGGAAAGGCACTCAGCCAAGTGGTTTTATTTTACTGTACAATACTTCCTTGGAACTCTGAGCTACTGTGGCACAATCTCCCTGCAACCCATGACCTATCATAAACAAAGAAAAGCAAAATTGTGATGGCCCTTTACTGGGAAAGCTACTTCCCAGTTGTATTAATGCAACATTTTTATATGTAATTGCCTGCTTTTTGTAATATTTCTGTTTATTTTGTCTGCTGTTGCTTCAGTTTTCTGTACATTGCTTAGAGATATTTTAAATATATTAAATTGCATAGAAATTAAATCATCATCATCATCCTTTCCTATTGCCAACGATGTTGTGCACCGTTTACTCTTCACTATACTGAGATATTATTTTATTATTTATTGCGATGTACTGATGTACTGAAAGGAACCTGTCCTTCCAGGTAGGAGTGAAAGGCATCATTTTCTGTTCTACCTTGTATTAATCATACACAGCACTGTGAATGTAAACAATTACATATCATTTGTAAACTGAAAGAATCAAGAACAGTGAATACTGATCGTATTCAATGGACTGGTTCCTGTTCCAAACAAGGGATGAAAAAAATCATTGTTTCAATTCTCAGGTATCCCTACTTACATA